GAACCAGCCTTATAGTGCAATAGTTAAGTGCTGTGCATGGAAAGCTAAATTCCACATGGCTAAACGTGATTTGAATCTTGGACCCTGGTGGTTCAAAAACATATTTGGTGTATGAATGCATGCTTCACATCCTGATAAGTTAGAGACATAGAAGAGAAGTGATTGCAGTGTGACCCTGCTCTATTGAGGGCTGTTTTCTCTCTCCCTCTCTTGTTGTTTGGCAAGTGCACATGCCCTCTGGCAACTTTAAAAAATCAAAGATTATATGTAGTTGGATAAAAGTTGCTTAAATTTTCTCTTGCTCTTTACTTTATATCTCGACTTTTAAAATAATGTAAACTACTGACAGAGTTATGCTGTCATTTTTAAATAGCCATTACTATGATTTGAGAATAGAAGTCAAAGAGGTTTGAGTGTTTGTACTTTTTAAATCAAAATTTAGAAGCACATGAAAGTCATTTGCTATCTACTTCTCCTAACATGTAGAAATTTCAAGATTTCTTGTTTTTGTTTGCCATATAAAATCAACATTATCTTTCTCCTTATCTGTTAATCATAATACATTTTATAATCCTTTACCAGCTTTCAAAATGAGTATTTTTTTCTAAACATTATCTTATTTTAGTTTCACAGTTACTTTCTAAGAGAGGAGATTACAAACATTTTATTAAAGCCCATTTTAAAGTATATTAAAAGTCAGAACATTTTTCCTTATATCGTACCTAAATGACACATTATAGTCTAATATTTCTTGTTCACACTTTATTGAAGATGGAAAAAATCTCTTCTCATAGATAAAATTTATTTCAGTTAGTTTTCAACTTTCTTTTTTTTCCTTTTGCTTGGACTCCTTCTTCTCCCTAAAAAGCTATTTGCTGTGTTTTCCATTTTGAATTAATAAAGTATTGATAGCCATTCTGCTGGCCTAAGAAGGTCCTTTTTGTTGAAGGAATAAAATCCTACTCATACTTGCTTGAGAAGATAAAAAGAGTGGTAGAAACTTATTTTAAAGATCTACGACTGTCAAGGGTAGAAAGTAGAGTTAATAATTAGAAGAGACTAAAATCAAGAACTGAAAAGACAATAAGGAAGATAAGAAGAAAATATTTCCATCTCTTTTTCTCCAGAGGAATATGATCTCTTGTTTCTACTTTCTCTATGTATGGCTGTTTTATTCTTGGCAATACACATTGGCTTTTCTCTACTTCTTTGGGCATGTGTCAGAAATTACTTCCATTGTGCCCGATACTGCCTGCACTAATTTCAAACAACCATCAGGAAACAAAGTTCTTTGAACTATATAATTCCAAATCTCTAAGAAAAAAAAAAATCTGCCCCATTTTTTGTTAAATTACACTTACCTGCAACCAAGAGACTAGGTAACATGGCACCAATGAAGCATTTGGGAGTGACTATTAGTTCATGGAAAAGATGAGGCTGGAAACATTCTCATTTGTATCTTGCCTGCATTTATATTTAAGTACTAATTCTGAAGTTTTATATTGAAAAAGGTTTTCACCATGATGTTCCATTAAGTTCTGGTGCAACTGATAAAGTGATACTCTTGCCTCAGTCTAAATGTCTTAAGTATATTGTGTTTCCTGTAACTGATTAATTACAACTGGTAAATTACAACTTTATGATTTATTTTGCTTTACAGCTAAAAGCTATAACTAGTTCACCGAGTGAACTTGTACTTCCTCTTCAAACTCTGTCTCTTTCAAATGAAAGAGTACCTGATATACTTGAATACTTTTCTCCAGAAAGGCTCAACGATCCACGGTAAGCCTCACTGATAATTGGATGTACATAAATAATAATAATCATCATTATTATTTAGGTATTTGTCATTGGGTGCATGCACTCATGAGAGAGAGAAAAAGAGAGAGTGAGAAATCACCCCTCAAGGGGTAAGACCATGCTATAATCCCTTTCTTTCTTTCTCCTCTCAAGATTTTGGGCACATAAGCATATGCATCTGGTATGATTTTCAAGCCACAGGGTCTGGGACTCAAACCACTTTGTCACCCATCACCCCTGCTGGCACAATTTAACACTACATTTTTTACATGATATTCAATCTCCCAAATAATGATGTACTGATTGACTAGGGACCAAAAAGAAAACAAACCAAAAAAAATAAAATGGCATATTGCAAGGAAGTAATCCAGCCAAGCAATTGCTCTTATTTTATGTATTTATTTATTTTGTTTTTATGTCATAGAACATATGTTCTTGCCACAGAGAGACAGAGGTAGAGAGAAGTGATCACTTCCCAGGGCGGATGGTCATGCCGCAATCCCTTCTCCTCTATTTGCCTCTCAGGATTTTGGGCATACACGCACACACACCCAGCCTGATACTGATGCCACTGGGTCCAGGATTTGAACTGCAATCAGCCATGTAGGAATCCAGCACTTTAATTACCATGCCATCTGCGAGACTCAGCCAATTGCTTTTTTTTAAAATTCATGATTCAGTTGTATTGTGGTTGATATTTGAAAAATATTCCAAATTTAAATTTAACCGTACAGAAAACAATACTAAGCAATTACATTACTTTCAGAAAGAATTCTTTTAATGATTTATCATATTTGATAGCAGCTTTATTTAATTGGTTACAAAAACCTAAGCCTACGGACCATTAGTTAGCTAATGGCTATGTCGCTGGACTCCCACGTAGTCGACTGCAGCTCACATCCCAGACCCGGCGGCTTAAAACTCACACCAGGCACGTGTGCGTGCGTGCCCAAGATCCCGAGAGGAGAATGGAGGAGAAAGGATTGCGGCGTGACCATCCCCCCTTGGGGGTGATTTCTCGCTTTCTGTCTCTATGTCTCTCTCTGTCTGGCGAGCGCACGCGCCTACAGTGAAAATCTCTCAAAAAAAAAGAAAAAGAAAATGTATTACTAGTAACAACACCGACCATTACCATTTTCTGTGCACTTTTTGGGGGGGGAGGGGAGAGAGCGTTTTTTTGCTATAGGGCACGTGCACTCACCAGAAATTTATTTATTTTATTTATTTATTTTAATTTGACCAGAGAGGGAGAGAGAGAGATGGAAAGTGAGAAAGTAAGCTGCCAGGTCCAGGACTCAAACTGCGGTCAGCCATGTGGAAGTCCAACACCCTTAACCATCATGCCACCTGCCAGCTCCTAGCCTGTAATTTTTCAACACTGTTTTGAAAACTTAAAAGTGCAGCAATACACTTAGTTTCCATTATCTATCAAATGGTGCAATTCCAATTCAAAACTGTAAGGTCACAACAAATTAAATCAAGCAAATCCATACGAATGTCTGCACTACTTGATACTAATGTTCATTTAAATGTTAACTTGCACTTAAAACACAAAAAGAATAGGAATCTTCACAGTAGAGACCCAATTTTAATCTTAATGTGTGCAAAATTTAAAAGGTATTTGTCAGTTAAGTATGGAGAGTCCAGAAGAAACAAAACTGGAAGGGGTATAATTTACAATATAAGATTTGTGCTTCAAAGGTTTCACTGAAGCTTGTGACCTTAATTAGCTTTTTAAAAAATGTTTTATTATTGTCATAATCTTGTTTACATTACATTATGACCTTAATTAGCTTTGGCCTTGCTATTCTTACTTTTAGTGAACACCATGCAGTTCAAAAAATTTAGACTGCAGTGTCTGAACAGAATGCAGTTACCGTATGAAACTTTAACTCAAACTTTAGATAAAGAAAAAAAGGCTTTATGGATGTGCTTTCTTTGGTAAATTGAAAAATTTGAGCCACCTTAAATAGGAATTGATTCTAACATTTATAAAACCTATAAATAGTCAGAGGCCAAACCAAATTAAAACACATTCTCTAGCAAGTAAAAATCTTGTAAACATATGCTTGTATCTACTTTAGATACAAAACAAAACTCACTCATTAAAGTGACTCTACCTTGGCAGATACATATATTTGTAATGAATGCACATTTACTATGTGTTGTTTATCAGTGAAAACACCACAGCAGATTCACAAAGTTCTGACAGTATCTGTCTCATCATTTTTTATTCTGAGAGTTTTTTTGCTATAGGGTGTGTGTGATCACCAGAGAGACAGAAAGACAGAAAGCGAGAAATCATCCCCCAGGGGGGATGGCCATGCTGCAATCCCCGCTCCTCCATTCTCCTCTCGGGATCTTGGGCATGCATGCACACGCGCCCGACGTGAGTTTAAGCCACTGGGTCCAGGACTCGAACCACGGTTGACAACATGGGAGTCCAATGACATAGCCATTATGCCAACTGCTGGTCCCTATCTGTCTCATCTTTATCATAGTAAATACAACCCCCACTGGATAACTAAGTTAGTTTAGATTTTCTATCCCTTCACATTAATGCATTGGAAAATTAAACTCAGTGAATAAGAGCAAAAAAACCAATTCTGTGACAGTACAATTATTTAGTTTATTATCAAATTATATTTGTTTATTAATAATAGGATGATATAATTTCATTGGAAACCAGTTAATGTGAGGGAAAATGTAGTGAGTGCAAAATATGCATATGCTGATATTGATCGCAAGAAGCTTAGTGTTAATCTCTTGCTTCCTACAGCCTGCCAAATAGACATGTGTATATCATATTTTTCTATAGAGGGACTTTCAACAGGGAAATAATGCATTTGCTAACATTTGATGAATATTTAAACAAATATGTATGTTTTCTTTAAGTAATGAAGGAGCAATTATGATGCAACACAAGGAAGAAAACAAATCTGAAACTGAAACTTCTGGTACAAAAGGTTGTAATACTTCAGTTTGTTCTTTTGACAATAAAAATTTTCAAAACCTAACAATAATTGAAAGTGGCATCTCTCTTATGGACTCTGGCTCAGAAAGATGTGAGATTGATTCTGACTCTGACAGAGGAATTGGTTTGGACTACGACTTAGAGCAACACTGGAATGACTCTGACTCAGTAATATGGGAAGCAGACTCAGACTCAGAAAAATGTCCTAGGGACATAGACTCTGTGAAGAACCTACTAGAAACAGAAAATTATCATATAGCTTCAGATTCTGTAGAAGACTTGATGGAGTTGGAGCAACACCTGGTGGGAGTTGAACAGTGCAAGGTAGACTCTGATTCTCTTAAACACTGGATGGACTCAGGTTCAGAAATATTCTTGATAGATTCTGACTCTGAACAATATCTGATGGATTCTGACAATGGCACACAGGGTATAGACTCAGACTCAGAAAAATGCCCCATAGCCTGTGCATCTATAAAAATTCTGCAAAAGGAAAAACACCAAATGGCCTCAGATTCTGTAAAACGCCTGATGGAATCTGAAAAGATATTGATAGAGACTGAGAAACTCTGGATGGTCTCTGCTTCTGAGACATATGTGAGGGACTCAAATACAGAAAAAGGTGGAATGGACTCAGCCTCTGCATCTGGGGCATATCAGACAGGAAAAGAAAAACATCCGCACAAAACTGAAGGTAAGAGACATGTGAAGGATTCTAACTCTGAACCATTTGGGATGTACTCAGACTCAGAAAAATATGAGCTAGCTTCAGCAGCTGTGAAACACCTCATGGATACTAAAACATTCCAGATGAGCACAGACACTGAGGGGCTTTGGGTGGATTCTTGGTCTGAAAGACTTGCAACAAATTTAGATTCCAAAAGTCTGGAGATGGCATCTGATTCTGTGAAACACACAATGAAGTCTGAAAGTTGTCAAAGAGCCTCTGATTTGGATACGGTCTGGCTAGATCTCAGTTCCAAATCTAAAAAATGCTGGATGGACTCTGAAGGAGAACAACTGGACTTTGACTATAGTAAATGCTGGGATAATGCTAGAATATATCAGAATAGGTCTGCAAGACTTCAGTATACCTCTGAAAGTCAGGATAACTTTCAAAAACACTGGGATAACTTTGACAGACATCAAGTAGATTCTAATTCTAGAAAACATCAAATAAATTCTGAAAATGAAAGACATATAAATGAGTTTGAAAGTAAAAGACACCTTATGGAATTGGAGAGAGAACAATGTCTAATACAATTTGAAAATGAGAGACTTCAAATGAATGAAAAGGGGGAAAGACATTTCACAGAGTCTGACAGTATAAAAGAGCACAGGATTAGGTTTGACAATGAAAGACACCACTTTGATTCAAAAAGTGAAGCACAACGGCTTGGTGCTCGCAAAAAAGATAATCGTCCTCAAGGTAAGCTAGAATTTGTGTGGCTTTTGAAAGCAAATAGTTTTATGTGTTTAATTAATAATATTGTGACACTTCCAGAATGGAATAGCTTTGACAGATTTGGGCCCAAGATTTTCTTAGGTTTCTTTTTAATTTATTTCCAGAGAGAGAGAAGGAGAGAAAAAGAGAAAGGCACCCTCTATAGGTTCTTTACACCACAATCCTCCTCATAACTCTGCAGCCAGCCAGGATCAGGGGTGGGCCCATGAGTATTCCTGGCTTATTCAGGTAGACCTGAGACATGAACCTGGAACTTCCACAATTACACAGCAGTGCCTGTACCATTGTGGCTAATGCCTGAGATCATTTTACCAGAAATTCAAAGAACAGGAATTTTACCCCCAGATTTTGAATTCACTTTATAAAACTAGGCAAATCATCTCATTTTAGATACCTTTCATCTCCTTGTCTTAAAAGGAGGAGAATTAAAGAATTCTTAGCAAAGATGTCTATTAGGATCTAAGAAAGGCCATGTGGAATTTAGCCCCCTTCATTCTGTGATAGGTGAATAGCGATTGCTCATAAATTTTCCTCATTATTAGTTACTGTAAAAAGAGGTAAATACTCAAGCCTAAATATGTAAAAATTGAAATTATCTTTGTTTTTTATAAAAAAAGTTATTATTCAAAGTTATTATTATAGTTGGCATTTACTGTCAGTCATGTTTATTTTGTCACACCACATCATTATAATTCCCTATTTATTAAGGCATTTTATTTTATTTTTTTATTTTATTTTATTTTTGGAGAGGTTTTTGCCATAGGGCATGTGCACTCGCCAGACAGACAGAGAGAGACAGAGAGACAGAAAGTGAGAAATCACCCCCCCCCAGGGGGGATAGCTACACCGCAATTCTCTCTCCTCCATCCTCCTCTCGGGATCCTGGGCACGCACATGCACATGCCTGGTGTGAGTTTTAAGCCACCGGGTCCGGGACGTGAACCACGGTTGACTACGTGGGAGTCCAGCGACATAGCCATTATGCTAACTGCTGATCCCTATTAAGGCATTTTATTAAGGTACACTTATCATAATGAAGAAACTATTATCATCTCATAAACTGTGTTTTTCTTCATATTAGTCATTTTCTTTTTTTTTTTTTTTTGGAGAGGTTTTTGCTATAAGGCGTGTGCGCTCACCAGAAAGACAGAGAGAGACAGAGAGAATAGAAAGTGAGAAATCACCCCCCGGGGGGATGGCCATGCCGCAATCCTTTCTCCTCCATCCTCCTCTCAGGATCTTGTGCACGCACGCACACGCGCCCTGTGTGAGTTTAAGCCACCGGGTCTGGGACTTGAACTGCGGTTGGCTACATGGGAATTCAGCGACATAGCCCTTACGCTAACTGCTGGTCTCCCATATTAGTCATTTTCCACAGAGCCTTTTAGCTACAACTCAAAGCACCAAAAGAAAATGAAGAATTTGCTCCAGACATTCCTAAGAAATCATCCCTCTGAAATTATAACCAAAAAGTATGTGCATCAATAAACTGCTATGACTACTTTCAAAAAGAGAGTATTTAAAATAATACACATCGAACATATGATGAGCCTTCAAAAAGCTCATGGAAAATGTGTATTATGGAAAAACTATGCAAGAATGTAAAAAAGTTTTGCACCAAAATAAACTCCAACTTTAATTAAATTTTCTATAAACTTTTGAAGTCACCTCGTATGATCAATATTTTCAATTTTTAAATATAACTCTTTATTACTTATTTATTTAGCTATAGGGCGTGTGTACTTGCCAGAGAGAGAGACAGACAGACAGAAGGATAAAAGCAAGGAAGCACTCCCAAGGGTCATGGTCACACCACAATCCCTTCTCTTTCATTTCTCCCTCCTCCCTCCTTTTGGTATTTTGGACATGTATATACACATGCCCATAGTGTTTTTTAAGCCACCTGTTTTGGGACTTAAATCCTGTAGTTGGTCATGTGGGATTTAACTGTGTGAAACACAGGTCATGGGCTGGTCCCAGTGTTCTCTATTTTAACATGCTGTTTCCACATAAGAAATCTCGAAATTTATTTTTAATTAATATTGACTTTTCCATGAGGTTATTTGCTTCAGTATGGTGGATTACTGAACTTAATTAAAACAAATTATGCTATATACTTGAGGCATTTATTAATGCAATGTGTTATCAAGAGGCTGCACTAGTTGGAAGACAGGCATATTTATCCTCAAGCTAAATATAGCTGGAATAACTGTGAGATCTTTTACTTGAACAGAGAAAAATATTTACCTGTTGAAATTTTATTTCCAGAGAAAATCTCTGAACATTAGAAATGCAATTGTATCAGAAAGAATTAAGTAATATGAGAAATTAATTTCTGAGATCCTTATAAGATAGCTTATTGATGGAGTAGTGATAAGGTTTGTTACTTTTTATGAGAAAAAAAAGTAAAAAGAAATCCTAATGTTTTCATTGGATTTGAATTAAGTATCACTAAGATAATTCTCCTCTAATCTAATATCATTCTGTTCTAACAAGGTAATATTATCAATCCTTTCAGAGTTACATTATTCGTACAAGCATATGGCATGGAGGTTGAGGCACTGGATTCCACATGGCCACCTTCGTGGTTCAAGTTCTGGACCCAGCAGCTTGATAATCACTCTGAGCACATTCGCATGTGTGCCCAAAATCCTAAGAGGAGATTGGAGGAGAAAGAATTTGTGACATGGCCATTTGCCCTGGGGGGTGATCTCTCACTTTTCCTCTCTGTCTATCTGTCTGTCTCTCTCTCTGGCAAGTACACACGCCCTATAGCTAAATAAATAAGTAATAAAGAGTTATATTAATTGGCATGAAGAGCACAAAGATTTAAATTTCTTGTCCACTTTTGCTTTTTAATATTTTCAAACATAATCTGTTAAGCCTTTTTCAAAAACAAGATCTCGCAGCCTACCTCTGATCAATGTTATTATAACATGTTCCCCAGATGATTTGAATATGTGCTAAAAGTTTGAAGCAATGCAAAAACCAAGCTTCTTCTCATAAATAACATGATATAAATGCCATATAAACCTTTAAAAATAAATAATTCTTTCAAATAAAAAAAAATTCACTAAAATAAAATAACCCCTGCTCTGGTCCAGAATGACTCAAGGGATTCAGCTACATTGTAATTGATATGTTTTATGAAATCTTATCAGTTGGATGCCTACTATGTGCTCATGCTCAGCATATATTACAATAAATACATAAAAGTATAATACCTTATATTTATATATCACTTTTCAACTTTTCAATGTCCATTACTTAAAAATAATAATATCGGCTGATGTTGAGTTCTTATTCTGTACCAAGCACTATGCTATGCAAATCACATGTATTATTACATCTAATCATCATTCATTATTGTTTTTCTTCTTCTTTAATTTTTAATTTTTAATTGTTTTTGCCATAGGGTGCTTGCACTTGCCAAAGAGAGACAGTGAGAAAGAGAGTGAGAAATCCCTCCCCCCAGGAGGATTAGCCATGCTACAATTCCTTCTCCATTCTCCTCCTGGGACTTTGGGCATGCATGCATGTGTTCCTGGAGTGATTTTCAAGCTACCAGGTCCAAGGTACACACTGCTCTAGGTCACATGGGAGTCCAATACCTTAACTATTATGCCACCTCCTGGCCTCTGTTGCTGTCTTTCTTTACAGATAATATCGATAGCTAAACATTTTAAAACGGTGCCAATAAATACATAAAAGTATAATACCTTATATTTATATATCACTTTTCAACTTTTCAATGTCCATTACTTAAAAATAATAATATCGGCTGATGTTGAGTTCTTATTCTGTACCAAGCACTATGCTATGCAAATCACATGTATTATTACATCTAATCATCATTCATTATAGTTTTTCTTCTTCTTTAATTTTTAATTTTTAATTGTTTTTGCCATAGGGTGCTTGCACTTGCCAAAGAGAGACAGTGAGAAAGAGAGTGAGAAATCCCTCCCCCCAGGAGGATTAGCCATGCTACAATTCCTTCTCCATTCTCCTCCTGGGACTTTGGGCATGCATGCATGTGTTCCTGGAGTGATTTTCAAGCTACCAGGTCCAAGGTACACACTGCTCTAGGTCACATGGGAGTCCAATACCTTAACTATTATGCCACCTCCTGGCCTCTGTTACTGTCTTTCTTTACAGATAATATCGATAGCTAAACATTTTAAAACGGTGCCAGAAACTATTCTAAATATTTTGCTTATACTAATTTATTAGCACTAATTCACCAGTATTAACTTACTAATATTAATTTTCTAGTTTTACATGTATAAGTACATAAAAACATCACAAACTTAAGAAGTACTCATTATCATCACCTGTATTTTACTAATTTATGTAATTAATCAAGGTAATACAATAAATCAACATGGGTGTATAAGTATCTCTTTGAGATCCTGTTTCTATACCTTTAAGTATATTCCCAGAAGTGTTGGATTGTTGGAAAAGTCATGATGCATTTTTCGTACTTTTCTATGCAAAAATGTGTCATGACTTTCCCGACAACCCAATATAATTGCTGAATTATATGTTAATTATATTTTTAATCTTTTGAGAAACTACCATACTGTTTTAAATTGTGATTACACTATTTTACATTACCTCCAACAGTACACAATGGTTCCAATTTCTCCACATCATTGCTAATATCTTTTTTAGATATCTAGATCAATCGATTGATCGATAGATAGATAGATATAATAGATAGATAGTTAGAGATATAGACAGATTAGCCATACTAATGGGTCCTTGTTAGCCAATTTTATACTCTAATATTTATTAGGACAATAATTTGCTGCATTTATTTTAGAGGAAGCTAATTGAACATCTGTTTAATTTTATATGGGGTAAACATATTATCAACATATAACGGAATACTTTAAATTTAGTTTTCAATATTGCTTTAATAAATTTCATTAAAACGGTGACAAGAATCACCATTATTAATAAATATATTTGTTGAATAATAGCATAATAAGAAACATTTTTTTCACTGTAGAATTATACAAATTCTCCCTTTCTACAACCTTAATTTTATAGAAGTTGAAAATAATTGAGTCTATTTATTCATTTCTAGGTTTTTGGAGACTTGTTTTCTTTCCTCTTCCACTTACCCAGGGAAAGGGAACTGAAGAACAACACTCTGTGCAACAAATGGGTAACAGTTGTGAGTATATTCAATATAAATTGTCTAAGAATATTATCATATTCTCTGTCAACAAGTGGGAAAAAATTGTTAGAACCTGTTGTGTCAGGGCCCCCAAGATGATATCCAGATATGATGATTCTCTAGAAAGAGTCACTAGATTCAGCATACAGTAGTATCCAAGGTATTGATTAACTAAAAAGTAAAATCAGCAGAGGGAAAGGACATATGGAGTGAAGTATATCAGAAACCAGGCAAAAGGTCCCAAGAATCTGATTCTAAGTGGAGTCACACAGATTCACTGAGTTCATCTAGAGACAAGTTGTGGCGACACATAGAATGTTGTCTACCAGGGAAAGTCATTAGATTCTCAGTTCCCAGGATTTTTTAAAAACAGGTTTTTTGAGATAAAATTCACTCATTCAAGTATGTAATTCAATTATTTTTTCCCAGAGGTTGTATGTGCTTGTCAGAGACAGAGAGAGAGCAAGGGAGAGAGAGAATCTTTCAGTGGGACATAGTCACACCACAAACCCTTATCCTCCATTTCTCCATCCTGTCAGTATTTGGGGCACAAACACACATGGGCTTGGCATGTTTGTCAAGCCAGCAGGGCTGGGATTTAAACCATGTGGTCATGTGGCATCTGTCTCCCCATACACAGTGCTTAACCACTGCACTGAGGAGGTAGGCCCTAATGATTTTAAATATATTTACATATATGTGCAACCATCACTACAGACAATTTTAGATCATTTTTATTACTGCAAAAGATAACCTTATACCCTTTCCCATTATCCCTGCCCCTAGCACTGAGAAATGACTAATCTACTTTCTGTTTCAATAGCTATCCCTATTTTATATTTCATATGAATTAAATCAGGTAATACATGTCCCTTTCTGATTGTTTTCATTTAATTGGCATAATGTTTTCAAACTTAATCCATATTGTAGCATGTATCAGTACTTTTATTAAAAAAATAATTATTTATTTATTTAATTTTATTTGTTATTATTATTAATCTTTTAATGATCAAATAATAGTCCATTCTATAAGACCAGCACATGATATGGTGGTTAAGGTGGCTGGATCCCACAGGGCTGGCCATATGATTCAAGTCCCAGATCTGATAGCTTGAAAAACATGCTGGGTACATGTGCCTGTGTGTCCTCCAAAATCCTTAGAGGAGAATGGGGGAGAGGGAATTGTGGCATGGCAATGCCCTCTTGGAGATGATTTCTCATTTTCTTTCTCTTTCTCTCTCTCTTTTTGTCTCTCTCTCTCTTTCTCTCTCTCTCTCCATCTGACTCTGTACTACAAGCTCATATACCCTATAGCAAAAGCTAGAAAAAATACATGACTCTATTGATTAGTTTGCACATATTTCTGTATTTTTCATTTTTCCTTGTTATTGATTTCTAATTTCATTTCATTGTGGTTGTAGAAAATGGCATTATTTTTATCTTTTTAAACTTAAACATGTTTTATGGCCTAGCAATAGTCTATACTACAAAATTTCCCCTATGTACTTGAGAATAATGTATATACTTTTGTTTTGTTAGTGGAGTGTTTTATTGATATCTGATTCATTTATAATATTCAAATTTATTTCCCTATTGATCATTTGTCTACTTGTTCTGTACATTATTGAATATGGAGTATCAAAATATCTGACTATTAATACTGTCAACATCTATT